TCTGGACAACGTGGGAATGTGGAACATAAGGTCTGAGAACTGGGCGAGGCAGTACTTGGGGCAGCAATTCTATCTTAGGGTATATACACCTTCCAAGTCTTATAGAGACGAATATCCAGTCCCAAAGAATGCTCTTCTTTGTGGCAGGGCAAGGGGTCGTCACACAAGGCCTTTCTGACGAGGACAAGACAAGTCAAACATCTGATGTTGAGTTGAGAATTTGATTGCCTGTATTCGAAGAGTTTACTTAAATGTTGTCTTGTTAATTTATGTAAGTAGAATCGTACATTCTTGATTGTCACGAGAGGGTGACATAATGTCATTGATTTGGATTTGTTTATGTTAACATGCGGGAAATTTAAATTCTAGAGCTCATCTTCAGCTCTGGATTTTGATCAAAGGCGGGAATTTGAATTTCTTAGCAATGACTTATCAAGCTTCTGGTACTGAATTGAGGTCACAATCTGGGCAAATCCTTTTAAGATTTTCTTGTTTAATACCACCACTAGTATGTAATATAAGAGTTAATTAATTAATTTAGATAAATTAAAAAAATTAGTTAAGTTAGTTATTTATAACAAATATGAATTGATTTTCTTAAAACACTCTTTTTAATCATAATTATCATTGGATGAAAACTCCTTGTTATGTATAATCAATAGGGATATTTTAGATAATTAATTATAACTTTATGAGACATATTGGATTGAGATATTATATTTAGGATAAATTTAATTTCTAACTTGTTTTTATATTTAAAACCGGAGATAGTACCATTTAAGACCAACTAGAATTAATGCGTCGCAAGGAGGAAAGTGTAGATTTTCAAAATTCAATGTTACCATAGATTAGCGTATTGTTGGATCTAGTTAGGGGAAGTTTTTTTTCAAACACCTAATCTTGAGAGAGATTGAAAAGTTTCTTTCACTTGACAGAATCATTGCTGGTGATTGTCACTATACAACTGGTATACAGTTATACACTTTATGATAATTTTTGTTGGGATGCCTGCATTTTCCCTGTGATCCTACGACTGCCTAATGAAAAAGGAAAAATGCCTAATTTTTGGTGGCACGGCTATGTTGTCTGGGATGGTGGGTTGGGACTTTTTTAAGTCAAGAGCATATATTCTTTTCACATTATAAATGGACATACTAATTAAAAATTACTACATCCGATCCTTATATTAAGACCGTGTTTGACTTTTATTTTAGTCATAAATATAAGACCCCAATATACTTTGTCTCTCATATTTATATATTTTTTTCTAAAGTAACCCTTCTAATAATAATAGTTCTAGTCAATATACTTGATTAGTAAGGATATTTTAGGAAAGATAACACCTATTAATTAGGACAAATAACTAACTCAACTTCCTTTATTAATCTCCTCAAATTAGTCAACTGACTCTTATAATTAGGACTGGAGGTAGTATATTAGAGTTTTATGAGTATACCAAACAAATTTTTAACCCTACTTCTATTAAAAAAACTCTTCCCCGATGTCAAACAGGCATCAAGGGAAATATCATACTACCTTCGATCCTTAATTTATAAGAGTTAGTTGACTAATTTGAACAGATTAACGAATTAGTTAAGTTAGTTATTTATAATAATTAGGTCTTATTTTTTTTAAAATATCCTTGCTAATCAATATATTGGCTAGAACTATTATTATTACAAGGACTATTTTGAAAATAAATAAATATGAAAGATAAAGTAAATTGGGGTCTTAAATTATATTTAAGACCAAAATAAAATTCAAACGAGTTCTTTTTATTAAGGATCAGAGGTAGCATATATTCTGATAAAATATCAGTAATTCTTTATTCGATTGATGGTTTGCGGCTTGCCAAGTTGCACTCTATTAGCTTCTATGCGTATGTTAATGTATGAATGAAGTTATTGCACTCGTTACTAGAACGAATTCAAATCCAGCAGACCTGTCAATATGACAAAAATGAATACAAATCACTGAGGAGAAATGCTAAACATATATATGTTGAATCACTCTCAACAATTACTTTTAAGCTCAACCCCTCCAAGGCCGCTTTAAACAACCAACCAAGCATATACACAGATCTGCACCAATCCTCATACATGACAAGCTTTTATGACAAATATGTGTATGTAGACACTGGTCAAAGGTTGTAAGAATCCATTAAAGTTGTTCCTATTGCAGTGTTCTTTGAAGTCTAAAGGGAGGGGGTGACAGCAGCAAATATAGTACTCTCTGAATAGAGTCAAGAAATACACACACACACACAACATGAGCAGTGAAGATACTGCAGGGTTTCTGGAATCCTACGTAAGACCAGACACATGAGAGGGAATATTCTGCAATATTCTGAACCGCCTGGTCTGATTCTGATCTCTTCCATTCCATGCATTCGCATGTCAGTGAGGTCTGGTTTTTCTCAGCAAACTCGGCTTTGTCCCCAGAAACTTCCAAGTAAAGCCTCCTTGCTTATTCCAACCAATGGCATCTACCTATGTCCATACCCTGCAAAGCTAAGGTGTGAGCGTGGGAGGAAATTCCGACATGCGAGCTATGCCTACGTGGCAACTAACCCCCAACAACGTTTGAATACACACACATGGCCGTCGTCTCTGCCCCGGATAACCGGAGCGTTTCATGAACTGATTAGTGTAGCTTCTTCGAATATGACATTCTGGGTTTTCATCAATAAGTTTCCTCTGGAGACATCATTGCTTATGTCAACTTATATCTTAGTTAACTTCTGAAAATCTTTCTAAAATTTAATATTCTCCCATCATTAAGGACCCATTTGGATTGGCAGTAGAAACTGGATGTGATATATTCAAAATAGAGATAAAAGAAACCAGCTGGATTGGTGATGTAATTATAAGATGTGGAACTTGGAATTATATATTCTCTTGTTGCTTTTATTTTCTTCATATACAAATATATGGTATAATGATATTCATTATTATTGAGTTAGATTTAAGTATTTTTTTATTCTAATTGAGAGTAACTCTTTCAAAGTCATTCAACTTATTCATACATATTTGAATTTAAAACTTCGCACCTAAATTTGTTTTCTTGGATCTCTCTTCTCACATGCATGATTGTGTAGCTATATGAAGAATTTCTCTTCTTTTCAATGTTTTTACTTTATCTATCCTTTTTATGACTAAAGGAGATCTCCTCAATTTATACATAAAAACACATTCTTTTCTAATTCATTTATGATTTTCCCCTTAATTGTTTCCTTTTTTCTCTCTCCTCTTGAGCCCTTAAACTGAAGATTATGGTTTTACTGACTGGGTTGTTACAGCCTGCAGTAATAATTTGATAATTACTGTGATGGGAACATTTGTTTTTTTTAAAAAAAAAATACAGGGGAAGTGCTATTTTATAAATGGAGAGGTCTTTGATTATTTGAGCAGAAAAAGAATCTGCAGAACTGCAGGGAATATATAATCAATGGCTGTGGGGTTTTGATCAAATGTTAAAAGCTATACCAATTTATTTTTTTCAGAAAAGAAAAAAAAAGGTGGCTGTGGCATTTCAAGACTAAAAGAAAAGAAAATTAATTAGACAGCAGAATCTTTTGTCCTTATTATAAACAGACAGAATGTCCGAAAAAAATATCATGATCTGAAGAAAATGATATCATACTTAGACTTTCTTGGTGGGAATATATATAGCCTTCTAAAACCTTCCATTTTCATGCAATTCATCATGAAGCCAATAACTTTGTGAATTACTATTATACTAGGGATTTTGAGTCATGAGTTTCCACCACATCTCATCATTTAAGAATCTGCAAAATAATTTTTCAATTCCAATTTTGAATATAGGAGCTAGATGTAACTAATTTGCATATAAGGTTCAGGTGTATCCAGTACTCCGAAATATTTTTTCATGTGCATCCAACACCCTGAAGTATTTTATAGTGTATTTAGTATTCCCAAATATTCCCGAAATATTTTTTTTAGATGCATCCAGTATTCTGAAGTTTTTTTTTGTCTTGGTGCTAAATACACCAAAAATATTTTTGGGTGCTAGACGCACCTAAAAAAAATACTTCAGGGTACTGGATATACCAAAAAATACTTCACAGTAATAAATGCATCTGAGAAAATATTTCAAAATGCTCGATGCATCCAATGAAATATTTCAGGACATTGCATGTACCTTAACCCTTACATATATTATGAACATTTCTTAGTTTAGTCATTTGTTATAACTATGCTATGGTTTTCTTAAAATACCATTTTAATCATTATTATCTTGATTGATAAAAATTCCTTTAATACCATACCAGTGAACTACAAAGTACTCCTCTAGTCCTATTTACCGGACAGACTATTTATCGGACAGAGAGAGAATGCATTTTTTGTTCTATTTGTAGGGCATTAAGAGATATTTTTTGCATGAATGTACAATTTTACCCGTCATTTATTATTGTGTTGACTTTATTTACATGAAGTAAAATATATATTAAATAGGGATAAAGTTAAAAAGTTGTTAAATTTTAAATGAAAATTAATGAAGTTTAATGTTTTTTTTTTGTCTATATGAAACATGCAAGAAGTGACTTATAAATAAGACTAGAGGAGTATATCTTATATTTAGAACTAGAGATAGTAATATATGCAATGAATGCGAATAATTTGGAAAAAATTTATAGATTTGGGAGACAAGAATTGATTGAGGCATTACATTTAAAATCAAAATATACCTTTTAATTAACTATCTCTTGTATTTGGAACACACACCCACATAATGAAGATTCGATTTGTCTGCTTTATATTTCAAATGGAATTTATGAAGTTTTACATGAGAGATCTGAAACTGCGTGTTTTTTTCTTCTATCAATCGAAAGTGTGTAAGACTACAAGCTCATGAAGGGGTCACAAAAGGACAAGGCCTTTAGTATATTTATTCTTCTTTTGTTCCTTTTAGGAACCGCCTGCTCCTAGCTAGCCAGCAACACAAATTATAAGGACACTAACAAAAGTTACTATTAATTAATGAAGAGGTCTCAACTACACTCTCTCAAAGTCTCTCCAATATCATCACTTTCTCCTCCTCCTCCTCCTTCTTCACTTGGCACTAGGGCTGCACCGGAGATGACAATTATTGGTGATAATGACCGGCGTTTGGGATGGAGATCGCCGGCCGTTAGGCCTTATGTACGGTCCAAAACGCCTCGGCTTCGGTGGACATCTGATCTTCACCATTGCTTCTTACTTGCAGTTCAGAGGCTTGGGGGAGAAGAGAGTATATAATATAATTAATTAAGTTTTTCTCAAATTTTGTCCTCTTATCATTCTTCCTGTTCTTGTTCTTCTTCTCTTATATATAATGACTGAAAAACATATATTATTCTTACAAGACATTCCTGGAGTGTTTTTGAAAAAGTTGATAAACAGGTTTCAATTTATATTAATGTTGAATTTTGCAGGGGCAACACCTAAGTTGGTCTTACAGCTCATGAATGTTAAGGGCCTTACCATTTCTCATGTCAAAAGCCATCTTCAGGTACAGCATCGATTATTATGGGATGTTCGGTTTAATTTTAACTTGTTTTAAATGGTCCTAGGCTGTGTAAATATATAAGATGAATTCTATCTCATAAATAGCAAAAGTGATGATTTTTAAGTAATTTTACTTTGTAATCTGCGTAGTTTTTTTTTTTTTTTCCCCGGTCAAAAGTGTAATCTACATATATAGTTACTTCATTCTTCTTCTTCGATAGACCTTCCTTTTTTCTTGGTTAAAAAACTGATTAAATTAAACCATTTTTCTTTCAGAAATAATTTTTTTAGTTTCCAAATTCTTTAGTATATGGTTTTGACCTTTATGCTTCTTTATTAATTATTAACAGATGTACAGGAGCATGAAGCATGAGCAGACGCTACAAGGTACGTGCAAAATTATTATTATTTCCTAAATTGGCTGGTAATTAATACCCAAAAAATGTAATTAATGAATAATTAACCTGCAACTTGATTCCCTTTTAATTCCTTGACCAATATTACGAAAATGGTATCGAATATTCTTCGATCATTTCTCCATAAAATATAATATTTTCCACACGACACAAAATTAATTCAGAATTTCGGATAAGATCATATGTAGTGTGTGTGCATGCACATAATTAACAAAAATTTAGCAGCTTCAGCAGCAGCTAAGAAGAATGAAGAGGCAGTGGGTTTCTTACAAGATTCGTCCTTCACATCAAAAAGTTATGGCGAAGAGAATGAAGAAAACCAAACATGCGCAACTCACTGTTGTTTGGCAAAGTTTAAAGCTATCCAAGCGCCATGGTACAAGCTTAATAACCATATATATAATGTCTGGTTAAATGATTTTATGAATTTATTAATTAATTTTACGTACGTAAGCAAGGTAGGTAGTGTGGAAGAATATAATGAGTTAAGTTGCCATTTTTGATTAGCTTCTCCATATTGTCGGAGTTGCAGGAATAATATTAAGGAGGAAGAACATAATGATGACAAAGATGGAAGAAGGGAGGAGAATACATCAGAAGCAATTCATGGTGTCAGAGAGCAGACCCGTTCCTATATCATCTTCAACGACCTTTTCAAAAGCCCCGCGGATACTGTAATAATGTTCCCTCTCCCTCATTTAATTCTATTCTGATCTTCCACTTTTTTTAGTGGCCATATAATATATGGAGACTTGAGCCTGAGCTTTTAGTACATACATACTCTCTCTGGTTCTAGTATAAGAGCTAACACTTTGATGTTAAATAGAAGGACTCGATTCAACTTGCTAGTGACTTTAAGATCAAGTTTTGAAGAAAATGAGATTTGATTGCAATGATGATTCTAATAAACATTAGAATGTATTGAAAAGAGGGATATGTACGAAAGGAAATGTAAACTGAATTGAGATCATGGCGAAAGAATAATATTGATATTGATATTAATTCCAGTTATCATGTGTTTAGGAGGAGAGGAAGGAGATGAAAGCAGAAAGTGGAGCTGGTGGTAATGATCAAAGATTGGAAGGGGAAGATTTGCAGGAGATAGGAGAGAGAGTGGGTGTCGAAGACGACAAGAAGCTGTCTCTGTCAATGAGCTCAAAAGGTTTTCGGGCATGGCTGATGAAGCAATCCAACCCCCCTGGTCTTCCCCTAAATGATGTCTCTCTTCACCTCACCCTCTCCTTCAACACCACCACCAATCTCTAAGTGCCTATATATTATCCTTTATCATCAAAAAATAACTCTAACTCTACCTCCCTTCCCTTACACGCGCACACACACACACACTCACTCTACTAAATTCATCATAATATCAATGTCTTCCTGGATCTATTTACTTCATTTTCGTACATGTCCCCCTAATTTACATAACCTATATACATATATATATATATATATATATAGGGTTAATATGATTGTTAGTCTTATTTTCATAGTTTCCATAACTCTAACTTTAGTTCTGTTTGATTCAATTTTGGTTTTGGCTGTTTAGTTTTATAAAGACTTAGTATGAAGCTATAAAAACTAAAACTAACCATTTGAAATTACAGAGACTAAAATCAAAATTCGATCAAACTGTGAGGATTGACAATCATATTAACCCTATATATACCACTTTGATTCTTATTATAAGTTACTTGTAACTTGTTCTCATCTCATACACTAAGAAATGTATTAAATTGACAGAATTTTTTAAATTTACCCTTATTAAGTTTTTTTTCACGTTTAAAAATCATCCTCATCTCTCTCCTTTCTCTCTTTTTAATAAGAATCAAATAAGAGTAAAATTAAAAAGTAATAATTAAATATCCTAAAAGAGACTTATATTTAGGGCAAAAAAATTTTTCCTGCAATTAACTTGGGAAAAATGATATAAAAAGAAGTTGAAAATTGCAATATTACAATTCAAGCATCTAAGAGTTTAAAATCCCCAGAAAGAAAGTGATGTCTGATTTGGTATTTTACAAATATAGTCAAATGACTAAAATGCCCTTGTATCAGATTTTTTTTTAAAAAAAAAAAGTTACCAAACTTGTCTTTGCTAATATATTCCTTATCATTGGTTGTTTAACACTTGTCATTACCAGTTCATAGCTTATTAATAAATAACTTGTCATTATCAGTATATTTCTTGTCATTTGCGATTCAACACTTATCATTGTCAGTTCACAACTATTAATAAACTTTTTGATATAAGGATATTTTTGTCATTTAACTAAATTGGCAGAATACTCAATAAGGCATCACTTCCTCTTTGGAATTTTGAAGTCTTAAGTGTCTCAATTGAAATATTGCAATTTTCACTTCTTTTTTTGTCATTTTTCCATTAACTTATACTCTCTCTAGTCCATAACGTAAAAAGTTGGTTAAGTTTTTTCATAAAGCAAGGAATGTTAGTTAAGTCTTTTTTTTTTTTCCAAATTAATAGAAATGACCTACTTTACCCCTATTAAAGAATATGATTACAAAAAAAAAAAAATTTCTCTCATCTCTCCTCTCCTCTCTCTTCCGTGTAACAAGAGTTAAAAGTGAAAAACTATCATTAATTATTTTGTCAACTGGCCTTTTTTTTTTTAAAACCAACTTCTTGTATTATGAACCGGAGGAAGTACTAAGGATCAGGGTGGCATATATGAGCGTAACTATAATATATGTGTGTATTTTTATTACACATCTGAGGCATTATAGGACATTAAATATGAACACTTCTCTTAGTAGGATTCGATTTTTGATTTAGCATATTGTAAGGGACTAGTCTTTTCTAGACCCAACTTCCTGCTGGTTGTAAATATAATATTGTTTTGCTGTTTGACTAGTTTGCTTTGTACGCCACTACTTTGATTTGCTCTGGTGATAATCCTGGGATCATCCGAAAGGGCCTGTACTTTTATTGGGCCAATCTTCAACAAGGGCTTTTAATCACGACATAGCAAAGCCTCCCGCCGGGGGGGGGGGCCATGAAGGAAGGAAGGAAGGAAAAAACATACGAAAATTTGCGATAGAAAAAAGAAAAAGAGAGGCTAAAATACCCTAAAAAATATTAAAAGACAAATAAGAATAAATAAATTTCAGAATTTCAATTCAGACCTCAGATACTATTTAGAATTTTCAAATCTTGTAAAATTACACAGATATCCTTTACTATTTTTTTTAACTATTTTTTTAAAATACTGTTACCTCAGCACTTTCAATCGTTGAAGTTCTGGCACTGGCAACCTTGCCAGTGGCCAACCCCCGAAGCTTCAATAACATGTCACGAGAATTCTAATGACTTGTTGCCGGAACTCCGGTGACTACTCTTTCTTATGTATTGACTATTCTTTTTTAGCTATGGAGTACATTTATTTTTAAAACTTTGATGATTACTCTTGTTTAATTACTAACTACTCTAGTATTGTGATTGAATACTTTTATTTTTAAAATTTTGATGGCTACTTTTATTTAGCTATTGACTACTCTAGTTTTGCTATTGACTACTTTTGTTTCAAAAATTCAAAAATTTGGAGATCTAGTGACTACTTTTTGTTTGGTTATTTACTACTCTTGTGAAATTAATAATTATATGAAAGTATTCACCAGAACTTTAAAAACAAAAGTAGTCAATAGTTAAATTAGAGTAGTCAATAGCTATATAAAAGTAATCACCAAAGTAAAGACAGTGTTGTCATTTCACAATATTTTAAAATTCTAAAATAGTACCTAGGGTCTGATTTGGGATTTTAAAATCCACCCACCCTTATTTGTTATTTAGTACTTTTGAGGATATTTTAGTGTCTTTTTTTTAAAAAAAAATTTCATCTCAAATATTAAAAATTCGAGATCTAAAATTTATAAATTCATTTTTTTCACTCTCTTTTTTTTTTGGTTTTGGAGACGCGGACGGACTAAATATATCAAGTATTAAATGTTGATTCGGCGTATCAATTAATAATGTATAATATATGATTGGCCAAAAAATAATGCATAATACTCCTCTGATCCTATTTATAGGCCAGAGAGAGAAATGTTTTTTTAGTCATATTTATAAGTCGTTTTATTAAATTTTTACTGTGAATATACCATATTGTCCTTTATTTATTATAGTGTAGATAGTTATTCTTTTTGAAATGAGCATATATTAAATAGAGGCAAATTGAAAAGACGATATATTTTAATAAAAGTTAATGCAGTTTAAAGTTTTTTTTTATAATGTAAACATGTTGAAAGTGCTTTATAATAGGATCAGAGAAGTATATTTTATCGATTTTTATAAACCTCCTGGAAAAAAGAGATTTTTGTATATCTCTATTTGTTAAAAAAAAATAAAATAAATCTCTGAAAATATTTGCAAATTTTATAATGTCTTAAGATTTGAAGAATAATTAGTTCAATCAACACTAATATTATTGAGATAACCTATACCTATATATGTGTATGTTTGTGTGTGTGTATATATAGGCATTGGTGACTGTATTCCACTTTTGGGATTATTATAGACATTTGCGGTTTGTTGAGTTACATCTGAAAGATAATTTTACTAAATTGTTGTACAAGTGGCAAAGTGGGAGTAGTTGAGTTGTATATTATATTTAATTATATATATCCACACCTAAACAAGTTGATGAAAATCTATAGAAAAGAGAAAGAGAGGATTTAATAAAGAAGAATAAAATCTTGTAAAGTGATTACCGTAATAAGAAAAATCTTGGAGAGGAAGATTGTTGATGTCTAACAATTGATCTGTTCCTGAAGACAAGGGCACTGTCTTTGTCTCTTTGAAGTTGTTTTAATTTCTATTCGATATGGCTTTAATAATGCCTCGTTGTTTGTGGCACCTCTGATACGTGGCAGGCATTAATTAGAGAAGTTGTTGAAATCATTAATTATCATCTCATTAACAATGGAATATAAGTCTTACCATTATAATTTCATCAAAAATCGTTGGCAGGAAAAAGTTCATAAAAAATATATTGAAATATAGGTCCTATTTATAAAGCAAAACGAGAAAAAAAAAATAGTCTTATTTTTTTTTTGTGAAAAAAAATAGTTTTATTTATATAGGATAAAAGAAGAAATTTTTTATATAATATATAATTTTACTGTTTATTTATAATTATGTTGATTTTGTTCTCGTCAAATATAAAATTTGTTGAGTTTTAATCTGATAAAGTTAATAAAATTTAAAATTTTTCTTGATCTTTATGAAATATTGTAAGTGACTTATAAATAAAATCAAAAGAGTTTTTTTTTTTTTAAACTTATCCTTCATTTTCCAAGGAAGTTTGTGTAGCTTTGAAACGAGAAGACATACTATCTTTATCAAAAAGAAGAAGCCATACTATCTGTGTGTAATTCTATCAAAACATTTTCTACTTTTAAGAAAAATTATGTGCAATTTAAACATAAAAAACAGTTTGTACCCTCTCTTCTTTTTTATTACGAGGTACCTTTAGATAAGAGATGGATTATCCTTATTATAAGTTACTGATGAAATATTAAATTTTTTCTAATTTTACTCTTATTTAAAGTTATTAAAAATGAAAGAGAACATAATATAAATTCAAAATTGTTATTTAAATATGGATAATATTGAAAATTTATTCCATTTTCAGACGTATCTAATGACATACATACCCTCCTTTTCTTGATTCCAGGGACCGGAGGGAGTAATTTTTAATAGAACAACAGGAATAATAAATACATGATTTAATTTATTCATGTATTAATTGTTACTATGATTGACTTTGATGCGTTTACTTTCAACACTGATCAACTAATAGAAAATTGCAAAGATATGGAAGTAAACCCACTAAACCATATGCTTCAAACTAAGTGAAGGGTTTAATTAAAGCTTAATTATTATATGTATATAGATGATTAATAAAATAAAGCTGCAGGTAATTATTATGCTCCCTTTAACGAGGAATTGCAATGTGATTTGTTAAGAGCATATGACTGACAGATATGAAATTATATAATGAAAAGATCTAAAAATGTAGTGCTAATGGTTAGAGTGGTCCATCAAGGATCCAATAAAACCAGCAAGCCAAGCTGTATCAAACTCTTGTATGTATCTGAATGATGAAACTTTAGGAGAATAAGAAGAAGAAGAAGGATATTTGCCTTCTATCTACTTTGCCACGCGTACACTTCAGTGTCTTAGCCTCCACCAAACCAAACAATTTAACGACTACGACTAATATATATCCCTAAGTGGCCAAAACGCT